CCTCTCACTGCAGAGCTGCCAAGGACAGCCCAAGACGTGCTGACCAGATGGCAACCCTGAGCTGCACACAAGGCCGAAATCACCGTGTTCCAATCCCAGCCTTGAGACAAAGCCAGACTTGCTCAGATGTTTCCACTCAGGGTTGGGCAGAGATGCCCCAAAGGTGAACAACAGCAAAGAAAGGCATCAGCCTCCAGCGACTAGCAGGACGACCTTTAGGCAGCTGCTCTCTGGCCTCAGTGGGGGTCTCCTCGGAGCAGCCACCTCCTGCGCACCCACACGATGGGGCATCGGGGGCTGGGAGCAGACCCTCTGCCTTTCCAGGATGTGGGCTCCTGGCCGGCTCCTCATGGTGTCGGTCATTTTGTATTACACAGCACCTGTCTGTGGAGCCAAGGGGACAAAACTTGTGTGTGTAACTCGGGGAAACCGAGTCCGCAGTCTAAGGCAGCCCCGGGAGCGCCGGCACCCACCGAGTGCCCTGAGCACCAGCACTGCGAGTCCCGGGGCACCCACGGGTGGAGACCTCTGGTTGCCAGAGCTCAGGGAGAGCTGCGTGGCCGGATGGAGGCTGCCCCCGAAGCCCTCAGCTCCCCTCGGCTGGCTGTGCGCACTCGACTGGGGCAGGTCTGAGAGAGAGCCCACGCTCCACCCTTTCCCTGCAGGCGTTTTCTTAATGGAAGTCTTGTCTCATTCCCTGAGGATCTGAGGCTGCTCGCGGGAAACACACGGAGTAAAATACCGAAGTGTGAATACACTGAAAACTCAGGGCCAAACAGTCTGGAACGAGGTAGTGATGATGGTTATTGCACAACTTTGTGAATTGACTGAATGCCTCTGAGTTGTACATTTTAAAGTGGTTAAAATGGTAAGTTTTATGTTATGTGTATTTTACCACAATAAGAAGAGGTTCAAACAAAACACAACAGAAATGAGGGCCAGAGGATATTGTAACTGGAATGGGGAGAAGTGCAAGGTGATCTTTGCCAAAAGACTGTCCCAGCTGATGAGACGGAGTTGTGGTTTGCACCCCGCTCCTGCGTTTGCAGCCAGAGGTGGGGAGAGCACTTCCTGTTCATCCTGAAAATAGAAACCGAGCCGCTTCTGTGTGTCAGGCCCTGCATGGGGACACTGCTGACAATGAGGAGACCAGTGTGGTCCCTGCCCTGGGGGGGTCCCACTGCTGCGGAAGCCAGTGATACAGCTGTGTCTCTGGATGAGTTCTTTGGGCAGTTGCCTCTCTAAGAAACTTCACACCATCTTGTGTGGGCACTGGGGAGCAGCTACCAGGCCTGCTGTGCCTAGAACCGGGTGCCACGAGGGACATGGGAAAAGGGACAGCGGTAATCTGTGGACCAGTCAAGGCACATGAGTGACATGTCTGTCTGGGCCACAGCAGGGTGTGCACTAAAGTGAAGGAGTGCCAGATGCCCAGAGGGAGGAGGAAGCAAGGGGCTGCCGGGCTTCCAGAAACTTACTGGGGTAGAGCGAGTGAAGCAGGCTCTTAGGGCCAAGGAAAGTCTGTGTGTGCAGGGGAGCTCGGGAGTGGATGTGGAAGCCGAGGCTCAGAGATGTTAAGCAGCTCATTCTTGGCCTCACACCTGCTGAGCGGCAGAGCTGGGATTGGAGGGTATCTGTCTGCTGTCAGAGTGTCCATCCCTGAGCCTGAGCACTCCTTGTTGAGGCTTCTGGGGAAATCCCTGAGGAGGATGCTAGCCCCAGACCCCAGCTCTCTCACCAGTATGACGTTTGAATCCTCTCCTTACTGCAAAACACAAGTTCTGGGTAAATTGCTGCACATGTCCCATCAAATGCATAAATGAGCACAGGACAAAATAAAGCCTGACGCTTTTAAGAGTGGGGGACGGGGAATGCATGTGTTGAAAATGTAGCTGAGCCTGAATCATGAATCCTCAGGATTGCTTGGGATGCTCCCTGGCATTGGGATGGGCAAGGCCTGGGCAGCAGCAGGTTATAGTAAGTTGAGAGCAAGGTTGAGAGTAAGGTTGCAGACACGTGGAGGAGGCCGGGCCTCCGACAGTTACACCCTCTGTGAACGCGCAGTCCGGTTTCCTGAATGGTTTGGTTGGGCTGTAATTCATGTGCCACACGATTCACCTGTTTAAGCTGTGCAAGTGGGCATCTTCAGTGCACCCAGAGGCTAGGCCACCAGCACCACCCCCTAGAGTTGGAGCACGTTCATCCCGCACAGAGGACACCCCCATTCACAGACACTCCCACTGCCCTCCAGTCCTGGGTGACCACAGTCTGCACTCTGAGGATCTACTCATATAGCAGGGAGATTGGTGAAGTATTTGGAGGGGCCTCAGTTCCCCTCCTTGTGGGCCTCTCCATGGGGCTGCTTGGGTGTCCTCCTAGTGGCAGGTGGCATGGTGGCCGGCTTCCCCAGAGTGAGATGTACAAGAGAGCATGGGGAAGCTGCGCTGACCTTTGGGACCTCGTGTGGGAAGCTGGCCTTGACTCCGTGGCGGGGGAGGGGTGTGTGTGTGGCCCTGTCTCGGGCCGGCCACTAAGGGGGGAGGGGATGGAGAGGATGGGAGAGGGGCAGTGATGGGTGGGGATGCACCTGAGAAGTGTCTGAGATGGATGGAGGATGAGCGTTCTCAGATTCCAGGCGTTCTGTGAAGGTGAGCTGGGACATTGAAAGCAAGCCACCCGAGACACCATAGTGACCTGGTCGTGAAAGCAAAGGGCCTGCAAGTAGCCACCAGGAAAGACCCATTCCTCCTCAAGAGTCACTGTGCTGACAACAGATCCCTAGATAGCAACAACGGAAAGCCAAAACAGGCAGAAGACATCTCCAAATGGCTCCAAATAACCACCACCTTCGTCATGTTCGGTTCAATGTCGTTTAAATAACAGCGCATTTCATTTCAACTTCAGACACAGTCTGGGGGAGAGTGTCCCCATGTATCCTCTGCAACAACTCAGAAAGAGTGGGATTCGGGATTCAGGAGGAAAGAGGATGATCCAGGGGAGAAGGAGATGCCAGGGGACTGGTCTGCAAATGCATGGTTTACAGCTGCTCCCATGTTTACCACACACGCCTAGAGTGCTCGGGAGGGCTGGGGTGTGCCCCCAGGGGCGCCTGCAGGGGCCTTCTGCCTCGTTCTCCCAACCACTGCAGGCCGAATGGGCCCCACTGGCACGTGTGCACATGCACATACACGTACACAGACATGCACACGTACATGCACACCACACATGCAGACACGTAGATACACATGTGTGCATATACACAGAGACACACAGGCACACACATGCACATGCACATAACACAGGCACACATCCACATGTACACACACATACACACGCATACAGACATGCACATACATACACATACATGGGCTTACACACACACTCCCTGGTGCTGCTACTGGAAAACCAGTGAGGGAAAAAGCCCAGTCTGACTGTGGCATTGTCGGCCAGGACTGTGTAGAACAAAGTCTAATTGGAGGGGTTGAAGAGAAAGAACTACAGAACCAGCCAAGAATAACCAAGAAAACGGGAGGAGTGATAGGCATTTGAGGAGTTTGGACTTCTCTTATTGTTTCCCAGGCAGGTGGAGACACCCCTGTTCAGTGTGGGGACGCACTCCCAGCGGAACTGCTGACGACCACCACACGCAGAGCAGGAAGCTGGGCGAGCATCGGAGGAGCTGTGGAGGAGCTGTGGGAGGAGCCGCGGGAGGAGCCGCAGAGGAACGAGCTGTGGGAGGAGCAGTGGGAGGAGCCGCGGGAGGAGCGAGCTGTGGTGGATCCGTGGAGGAGCAAGCTGCGGGAGGAGCCTCGGGAGGAGCCACGGAGGAGCGAGCTGTGGGAGGAGCCACAGGAGGAACGAGCAGCGGGAGGAGCCGCGGGAGGAACAAGCTGCGGGAGGAGCCGCAGGAGGAGCCACAGAGGAACGAGCTGTGGGAGGAGCCACGGGAGGAACGAGCAGCGGGAGGAGCCGCAGGAGGAGCGAGCTGTGGTGGATCCGTGGAGGAGCAAGCTGCGGGAGGAGCCTCGGGAGGAGCCGCGGAGGAGCGAGCTGTGGTGGATCCGTGGAGGAGCCATGGGAGGAGCCTCGGGAGGAGCCACGGAGGAGCGAGCTGCGGGAGGAGCTACGGGAGGAACGAGCTGCGGGAGGAGCCACGGGAGGAACGAGCAGCGGGAGGAGCCGCGGGAGGAACGAGCAGCGGGAGGAGCCGCGGGAGGAATGAGCAGCGGTGGAGCCGCGGAGGAGCTGCGGGAGGAACGAGCCGCGGGGGAGCCGCGGGAGGAACGAGCAGCGGGGGAGCCATGGGAGGAACGAGCTGCGGGAGGAGCTGCGGGAGGAGCCGCAGGAGGAACGAGCAGCGGGAGGAGCCGCGGGAGGAGCGAGCTGTGGTGGATCCGTGGAGGAGCAAGCTGCGGGAGGAGCCTCGGGAGGAGCCGTGGAGGAGCGAGCTGTGGTGGATCCGTGGAGGAGCCATGGGAGGAGCCTCAGGAGGAGCCACGGAGGAGTGAGCTGCGGGAGGAGCCACGGGAGGAATGAGCTGCGGGAGGAGCCACGGGAGGAACGAACTGCGGGAGGAGCCGCGGGAGGAACGAGCAGCGGGAGGAACGAGCAGCGGGAGGAGCCGTGGGAGGAACGAGCAGCGGTGGAGCCGTGGAGGAGCTGCGGGAGGAGCCGCGGGAGGAACGAGCCACGGGGGAGCCGCGGGAGGAACGAGCAGCGGGGGAGCCGCGGGAGGAACGAGCAGCGGAGGAGCTGCGGGAGGAGCTGCGGGAGGAGCCGCAGGAGGAACGAGCAGCGGGAGGAGCCGCGGGAGGAACGAGCAGCGGGAGGAGCCGCGGGAGGAACGAGCTGCGGGAGGAGCCGCGGGAGGAACGAGCAGCAGGGGAGCCGCGGGAGGAACGAGCTGCGGGAGGAACGAGCAGCGGAGGAGCGGCTCGCGGGAGGAGCGAGCTGCGGTGGAGCCCAGAAGAGCTCCTGCATGCAAGGGCAGGACGGGCAGGATGGGGAGCACAGGTGAGTCAGGATAGATGAACACGGGGAGACAGAATGATTTCAAACACCCCAGTGATCACAGTAAACGTAGCAAGCCTAAACTTACCAGTTAAAAGACACGGACAGATCGGAAACGCGTAAGGCCCGAGGGTGTGCTGTTCACATAGGAAGTCCTGGTAAGGAAGGAGAAGAAGACAGAGCCACCAAGGACCCAGATCCTTCACAGGGAGGGTCCCTGCGCCACCGGAGCCCCGCCTGCGTTGTCCACAGGCCTCCCCTCGCACAGCCCTCTCCGCTCGGCCGTGCACGAGCCACACCTGCCACGGGCGGGCCGTATGTCTCAGGGGAGCGTGACCTGCAGTCACAGATCCCGCCCACGGGGATGCGGCAGTGTGTGGGGCTCGGTGCGGCCTCTGTGTGGTGGACGTGGGCTTTTCAACCACAGGACTAGACGGATGTCGACGGGCAGGAGAGGGGAACGTGTTGGGTGCCTGTTTTTTTTTTTTTTAAACAGCTTTATTGAGGAAAATTCACAGGCCGAACAATTTATCCGTTTTGACGTACGATTCATTGGCATTCATCACACTGCGCCGTGCAACCATCCCCACCGGCTATGCCAGGACAGTCGGTCATCCCAACAGAAACCCAGAACTGGTAACTAACTTCCCATTCACCCTCCTCTGGCCGCCTCCAGTCCACTTTCCACCTCCAGAAATTTGCCTTTTCTAGATATTTCTTGCAGTTGGTATCACACAGTAATTGCTCTTTTGTGTCTGGTCTCCTTCCCTGAGTTTTGCAGGTCCATCCATGTTGTCGTACAGGCCAGTGTCTCTTCCTTTGCGTGGCCGAGTACTGCTCTGTTGTGTGGTCGCGCCACGTTTTGCTTACGCGTTCTCCCGCAGATGGACACTTGGGGTGTTGGAGCTTTTTGGCTACTGTAGATGCAGCTGCTGTTAACGTGCCCGCACAGGTTTCTGTTTGTATCTTTGTCTCCAGTTCCTTGGGGCGTATACCCGGGAGTGGAGTTCCTGGGTTCTAGGGTAACCGTATTTGTCTTTATGAGGAAGCACACAGCTGTTCCCCACAGTGGGGGCACCCTTCCCCATTCATGTCCTCCATACCCCCTGTCCCTGCTTCTCGGCTCTGCTCTCGGCCCTGGGTGGACTACCGTGGCTTCTGACCTCAGGTTGGAGAAAAGGAGGGGACGAGAGTCAGGCAGGGTGTGTGACCCCCCGTGGGGCCGTCTCAGGCTGCTCTTCTCAAGGTGGCATCTGAAGCTCAGCCTCCCCTCCTCCCCTGGGGCCTGGGATGATGGCTCCCGTTACTGCACTATGCCTGGGGCTCCCCTTCACCCACATGGCTGCAAATGATCGCTTTGTAAAGAAGTCCTCCTTGAAATATCTTGACCTGAGCAAGGCTCCTATTTCCTGAGGGGGCCTGAGCCGGGCAAGTAAGCAGTCAGACCCTCTGCGTCCCTGAAGCAGGAGCTCTGGGGTGTCATTCACTGAAGTGGCCGGCAACAAGCCCTGCATCCAGCCCTTGCCAGGGCTCAGAAGCTACTTTCTGGAGAAATGAAGGAACGACTTCACCATTGAAATAAAATCTTTTTTATTCTAAACACATTAGAGACGGTGGTCTGGGTCCGGGCTACAGAAGAGACTGGCTTCTCTCCTAGGGGTTTCTCACTAGAAAACAAACCCAAGTAACTTGTGGGGGCAGGGGACAGTCCCACAGCGAGGTGGAAGCTCATCCAGCAGGAGGCAAAGGCCCTGCGGGCTGAGGAGAGGCAGGTGGATGCTCGGCCCACCTCAGGCTTACCTGGGCAGGTGACTTCATCTCTTTGAGTCTGGCTCCTCGTGTGTAAAATGGGGACACATGAACCTGTCTGTGATGACGACATGGGTGTTGCTGGGAAGAGGGGTGCAGGGGATGCTCAGCCTGGCCCCTGGGATGGCGCCATCTCCCAGCCATGTGGTGCGTTATTAGGGCACCCGTGCCCGGCCTGGAGATGCTCCTGGTCTGATGGGTGTTGACGTGTCTGCTGAATATGGCTTTCCTCTTGTCTTGGAATTGGGGAAGGGGCACAGGGGCGAGAACAGCTTCCAAACCACGGGTCAGTTTCTGCCTCACCTGCCCAGGGCATGTGGAAGAGGGCTCAGCTGCCACTGGAGAGGGCAGGGGGGGAGGGCTCCTCAGGGTCGCAGGGGATGCTCATGGTGATGGACAACGGGGCTTCCTCCTCACGGGAGGCCAGGTGACCTCCACAGCCTGACTTGTGTCCCGTGGGCTGTGGGTGGTGACCCAGCTGTGTTTGGAGCAAGATGTATTCCCAGGAATTAGCAGAGCGCACAGATGCTCCAGAAGGATTTGCTGAATAAATAGATCCCAGAGCGTATGAGTCCGGAGAAGTCCGACCTACAGAACAGGAAAGATGGATGAGAATGTTTTTTTTTTTTTAAGATTTTATTTATTTATTTGACAGAGACACAGCGAGAGAGGGACACAAGCAGGGGGAGCGGGAGAGGGAGAAGCAGGCTCCCTGCGGAGCAGGGAGCCCGATGCGGGGCTCGATCCCAGGACTCTGGGATCATGACCTGAGCCGAAGGCAGACGCTTAATGACTGAGCCACCCAGGCGCCCCGGATGAGAATGTTTTTAACTGTTGCTTACAGTCCCGAAGCGTGGAGATAGCTCAGACGCCCATCACAGGTGACCGGACAGATGGCGCTGTGTGTCCACGTGGCAGGGTGTGATGTGGTAGGAGGATGGGTAGGTGATGGCTATGTGTGTCAGCGCGGATGGACAGGACACACAATTGTGGGAGAGGGACGGTCATCCCTGTTTGTTCGTGACAACCAGACTCGCTGAAATAAACCATCCCAGATCCAGGGGCTTCAAACCACACATTTAGTCTCTTACGGTCCTGGAGGTCCGAAGTCCACTGTCAGCAGCACAGGACGAGAGTTGTGGTGTCCCCAGGGCTGGTTCCTTCTTGGGAGGACGTCCCCTTGCCCTTCCCGGTGCTGGAGGCTCCACGTCCTCGGCCCAGGCCCTCCTCCAGCATCAAGCCAGCGGCTTCTCTACTGCTCACGGGTTCCCGTCTCTGATCCCTGCCTCCCTCTGCGGGGACCCTGTGCTGACACTGGGCCCACCCGTCATCTGGAGGCCCTCCCACCTCAAAACCCCTCCCTTGATCATGCCTGCAAAGGGAAGCATGGAGTGGCACCAGCCACATCAACAGAAGCACACGCTGTGCGGCCTTTTGCGTCCGGCTGGTGCCGTGTTTGAGGTTCCCCGGCGTTGTAGTGCGTGTTGGAGCTTCCTTCCTTCGTGTGGTGGAACAGTGGCCCCTGTGTGGACAGACCTGTCCATCCCTCAGTTGACGGGGCCCTGGGCTGTGCCCCCCTCGGCTGCTGTGAGCGTGCGTGTCCGTGGCCTCGTTGGGGCCCTGCTTGGATCCCTTCAGGCGGACCCCTCGCCCTGCCCGACCCCCACCCCAGTGTTCTCTCTGTCTGACGGAGGGAGGACTCGCTGTGTGGTCCCTGTCCCAGGGCCTGACTCTGGAAGCTCAGACTTTGCAGGAACATCATGCACGTTGAGATTTAAGTGTGCGTCCCTCCTCCACACCCATGCTAACCCGCGGGTAGGGCGGCCCTGTCACGTATGGCTACCCAGACGTGCATGACTGAGGCAGACTGAGGTTGGGGTGCGGGTCCTCGGGCCCTCTGCATGCGTTTCTGTGCGTCTGTCCCGTGGCCACCGAACATGGCCTCCCAGTCCTCACACAGTGCTCTGTGGGATTGAGCTGCTCTGTGCTTTTTGGTGTGTTTCAAATCTTTTACACTTTTTTTTTTTTTAAAGATTTTATTTATTTGAGAGAGAAAGAAAGAGAGAGAGAGCATGAGGCAGGGAGGGTCAGAGGGAGAAGCAGACTCCCCGCTGAGCAAGGAGCCCGATGCGGGACTCGATCCCGGGACTCCAGGATCATGACCTGAGCCGAAGGCAGTCGCCTAACCAGCTGAGCCACCCAGGCGCCCTCTTTTACACTTTTTAACAGTGAGTTAAAAAGTTCCCAAAGAGGGGTGCCTGGGTGGCTCAGTCGTTAAGCGTCTGCCCTCAGCTCAAGTCATGATCCCGGGGTCCTGGGATTGAGCCCCACATCGGGCTCCCTGCTCCGCGGGAAGCCTGCTTCTCTCTCTCCCACTCCCCCTGCTTGTGTTCCCTCTCTGGCTGTCTTTCTTTCTGTCAAATAAATAAAACCTTTAAAAAAAAAAAAAGTTCCCAAAGAGCAGAAGCAAGCTGTGTTTGGGACCTGAATGGAGCAGATGAGGCTGGGGGCAGAGCTGGCTGGGTGGGTGCTGGTGTGGGGTGAGCTGACTCGTGGAGCCCCTGGACTCAGCCTCTCCACCTGGACCGGGCCCACCAAGCTGGGTGGGTCTGGGGACAGGGCTGTCCTGGGGCCGGGACACGTGCTGCATTAGCGTCTGTCCTACTTCCGCAGCAGGAGTCTTTTCTGAGGTGAAGACGGGTTGGGGACGTGCAGGCCAGGAAGAACTGGGCTGTTGGTCTAAAGCTCCCCAGATGTCTGTGCAGCTCCGTGGCTGAGTTTGGTGGCCTGGGGAGGGGCTTTGAGGCCCTTTACCTCCTCACCAGAGGCGAGAGTTGGTGCTGGGGGGTGGGAGGAGGGCGGGAGGTAGCCCTGCTGCCCTGTCCACGGAGGGGCTGGCCCTGTGGCTGGGCAACCAGGTAGGCCCTGCCCGCCCCCGGGTCTCGGATTCCTACGCTCCCTGTCTGTGAAATGAGCGGCCCCTCTGGTCTCCGGGGCCAGGGAGCTCTCCTCCTCCTAGGTCTGGCTTCCTTTCTTGTGCGTTTTCTTAATTTAAACAAAACTTCTGGAGAGCTTGCCATGTGTCTCAACCGTTTTTGAAACACACTGCAGATTTTAGCTGATTTAACGTATGGTGCTCCCATGAGACGCATCTCACTTTAGGGTTGGGGAACCTGGGGCAGATGGGGTCCGCG